TGGGTGGTAATGAAAGCCAATCGCCGAAAGTTTTCGCAGTTGAACTAACAACGGCAGGTCAAGATGGTATGTTGGAAGCAGCTCAAAAGCAGGTATTTCGAATTGTACGTTTGTATCATCGTGAATGCTCCGCGCAGATACTGTCTGTGTTATAGTGGAAACGGTTTCCAATCATTTAGTGCTTTGGAGTGGATCTAATCTTATAAAACTCCTATGAAAACATTTTTTGGCTCAACAACCACTGTTTCAGTTTCCATAAATAGCACGAAGAATATCGCATTTCTAATGCCAAAAACATAACAGCGATTTTCATTCGACCTAGAAATTTGGTTACAGACTGTGAAGAGGAGCTTTGAACAGAGAACTTTTTAACCACCTTCATTAACAATTCCATTTATTGGCATATGAAAACCAGAATTTTATGTTAGTTCGCTTCCAAAATATCTCTGAATTGAATCTTCATACAAAAGAAGCCATTATACGAACAACTACAGTAGCTTTTGCAATAGTAAAAAAAACGTGAGCTTCATGAAACTAAAAGGTTTGCTGGTCTGCTCATCATTTAAAAGCCTTCCGTGCGTCATCATATATGGGAAAGAGGACGATACTTCTCAAGAATTGCTAATATTTTTCACGAACTGCTGAGAATCCTAAGAAATAGTCAAAGAGAACGTAGGATTCCATTCTACTACATATAAGGACGATATATTTTTAATTATAGGTACTTTATATCCCCGTACGACAAAAGGACTCTGGATTTTGACGACCCCAGGTGGGATTTCCAAATATGACAGAATTTGAAACAACAAGAATGTGTTTAACGATAAATGATAACGTACCAATAACTGGATCGCACCTAATCATTTCTTAGTCGTTCGTATTGACTACTTATCTTCTTTTCATCATAAATCGAAACTTAACACACAAAACAATACCAGGAGAATCCATCGTAATTCTGTTCACCATTCCATTACAGAATGTTCTCAGCAGCATTCGGTAAACGAAGTGATCCCCTGAATAGACTGAGCGCCAGCCCACGGTAAGCGATTCCATTTCACTTTCCAAATCTAGTATTTGCAAGAAAGAGAAGGATAAAAAATTTTTTTTGACCATGTACTTTTTAAAAAGTAAATGGTCAATCACAACGCAATCAATTTTTTATTTACTGTCCATTCTTTCTTCGTGACAGGGTATACGGTGAAATATAACTACAGTGATGCTGAGATATTTGCAAATCTTCGGACCGCAGGCGTACGCGGTGAAGACCAAACACGCTATTACCCTTTCCGAAGGCTAACGCGTTCGCCACCAAACCATGCAGCTATATGCCCCATCTAGCAGGTAATACCTATAAGCTGAAATACAGCTGTGAGAAAAGCGAAAAGAAAGACATGCATGGTGTGGTGCTGAATGCGTTAACCTGCAGAAAGTGTAATAGACTGTTTGGTCCCCATCGTAGACACTTGCGGTCCGGCGTTTTATTTACGAATATCTTAGCATCACTGCAGTTATAAACGATAAGTAACAATGAATAGAACCAATTCATTCATAGTTCTTCTGACAACAATACGACTCTTTCCTTTATTCAGAGCAGTGAAGCGGTTTTTCTACTCCGGCGCGGATCTCGATGATACACATGAAAAACGGGAATATATCGATCCGAGGTAGATGGAGAATTAATTCTTCACTTTAAACCTACTCTATGTGTCATAACTTTAAAAATCCATTAAGATTTCAAGTGCTCCACAGTACGAGACAAAACGAAGTGTATGTGATTAGTTGAATAATAAAAAGAACTGTAGTAGAATATCATAATAACGAATCAGTGTGTTGATTAGGTAACACGATTTTAACAATTTGCTCATTCTACTGTTGTACTGAAGCAGGTCCTTACACTACTCATCTCAACATGCTGCGGAGGCCTCAGTACTTATTTTCTTCGTTTCGTTGCCTCGCAGTCTTAATCCACAGAGGTGCTTGAGCGCGAATTCCCTGGAATCACTAGACAGTCGTGTTGGGTAGTACTCAAATCGTGACCAGAGAATGTTCCCAGCCTGTGTGAATCGAGAGGAGTTTCCAACCTTGCAACTTGTTTATACTGTTGAGCTTACTCGAGATTGATATGAGATGTTCATTCGGCTAACGTTTCGACGCCTTCCTCTTCATCAGAGCCGACGACCCTAGTCGATCGCCCGCGGTTGACTCTTCCCGATGTGGTGTCTTCGTCTCGCATCGAACCGATATTCAACCAGCGACGCTCTTTTATAGAGGGTGATTGTTCTTGATGTGATTATCCGCTGATAATAATTCTTTTTTCAATAGACAATCCACCCTGCAGCAGTCGGTATTTTGTTAACTAGCACATGGGGAATAGCAAAACCATAATTTTGAAATCGACCGTCTTTTAACCTCAGCACTACAATAACTATAATAATATCATTATTGTTTTGCCACTCACTATGTGCTAGCTAACAAAATACCGGTTGCCGCAGAGTGGATCATCTATTGAAAAACAGATTATTACCGACGGGTAATCATATCAACGACAACCACTCTGTATAAAAGAGCGTCGCCGGATGAGTATGGTTCATTCCAAATGCTCAGCTGATGAAGATCCGGTTCGATGCGAAACGAAGACGCAACATCGAAGACAGCCTCTAAACGAAAGGAACTTGCTTATTTTTATACTTCTCACTTTCTTGCAGTATCGTAAAACAATTAGGCAGCATGGTCGTATACTTCGCATATGTTCAAGTTTTTTTTCCTGAACCTGGCTTAGGATGTGGACACATTCCGATGTCTGATAGTTTTAGAATTTTGCTTGCTTAAAGGTGGTATCTTCTGTTCTTTGTGCAAGAAAAACGAATAAAGTTTAGCGAAGGAAATAACATATACCAGGAATGACAATCGCCCAAAGAAATGGTGTTAATTGTCGAACTCGTGTTGTTGAGCACAGCAACACTGCCACCTTTTTTATTGAGTGTAATTAAGAACAGCTCACCTTCTGCTGCATTTTTGTAGTTTTGACCTCTTTTTGCATTCCGCATTTTTTACGATCACGACAAACGTCTGAATCGACCGCACAAAAGTAAAGGATTTCTTTGACCCTGCACCGCTCCAGAACAGTCCATAGGGTTATGTCCGCTTGAATTATGAAAAGCAGTGCAACCTTCGCACGAGACTATTCTTTAAGATTTTTGACGACGGTATCCACTTGTACGACCTGCTCTGATGACCAAGGAGGCTATCAAATACATACCCCAGCTATCTCTGAAAAAACGTGGACTGCTTATTAGAAGCGAACCCTAATCGTCTTCCACTCATATCTGCCACTTGATTTCAATTTTTGGTAAAATCGACGTACACGAACCATTCTGCACACTTGGCACTTGACAGTTGAACGGCCAGTCCTTACTGGTTGTGCGGACCCCAGCGTAATCCTCACTTTTTGGGGATTTGCTGGTTAAACCATTGTGGATCCCTAGAATCCTGAGCTCAGCCTAGCTAAAGTCTGTCCCAGGTCGTCACCACCACAGGCAGTCGCCGCCTTTGTGGACCAAAGGAAGATTTGCCACCATGTGACTAGTTTGATACCAGGACGGTGGTGGATCCTGGTATTGGTTTATTCTTAGCTGGACTTTCTGATGGAAACATTGGACTCCTTCTCAGCTTGGGAGACCCTGCCATGGGGATGAATCCCCCCGCTATACATCGCAGCCCGACATAGAAACACCCAGTAACACCTCCCAGTCACGATGAGGCGGTAAACCGCTGGGAGCCATTCTGCGCACATGCAAGCTTAACCCATGCATCCCTGAATTTGTCCCGTTTTATAAACTAGAGGCTAACCAGATACTCCTTAAAGAGGAAACTGATATGGCACAATATATAGCCGCATAAAGCCACTCACAGAATAGAACACATTTCTATGCTTCGCAAAGAGACGAAATTGTGAGTAACACACATTACGAACCGATCGTCTGAACATATACCATATAACATGTATAACACATTATAACTGCAGCCTTAGCTTAACTGGGTTCGTTGCCGACTTGGGCCCTCCAGATCAATCCAGCTGACGGGTGATTGCTGATGTCAAAAGAACAATATAACTAGCTGAGAAACAGGCGAAATGAAGGACCTGCGTGGTGTGGCGGTGAACGCGTTAGGCTCCGGAAGGGGTAATATCGCGTTCGTTCCCCACCGCAGACACCTGCGGTCCGGAGTTTTGCAAACATCTCAGTATTACAGTAGGTATGTTATTAGACCCATTTATGAGCATTTTTTCCAGATTTCTCACAAGTTCATTCGGAAAACGCTCAAACTCCGATATAGATGAACGAAGGTAAACGATGACTTATTTTACTGCAGCTCGCCTCAGTTCGTTGTAATATTCAGGTCCATGTGGACGTGGTTCGGAAGAGAACGATAAGACAAGACAGGAACACAAATCAGCTTGGATTCATTCTTGACCTATGTTTTACAGAATGTACACTATTGAATTGCGACTATACGTACAGCCCCAGAATAAAACGTTGGCGGAAAGACGAACAGACTCCTTAACATGAACTGCAAAATTTATAACATTTAAATTGTAAACTTTATAGAAACCACACCATTCGAATTAGTACAACAACGCCAATGAAACAGCCGGTTACAACAGAAGTTGAGAAAGCTTAAAGAGAAGAATTAAAACACCCCAACCAGTTTCTTAAAACACAGCAAAAAAAATTTCGCGTCACAAAAAATTCGAGAAATGGAGGAGAACATCATGTTTTGTCTTAATATAATACATGTTATGCTTCATATAAACTTCTGTATATTGCCCATATCGTTGACCAGGGTTAGTAACCGTCACGAACAGTAATAAAGCAATATATTATACTTCTAGTGTAAACAGAACTAATGAATGGCGTATAAACCCTCATACGAATATCATACTCCAGAAGAAAAACGCATAATAATATTGGTGTAGGGAGAAAGATGGAAAAAAACAATAGTTAGTCAACTTTAACGGAGGAATAAATCTTGTGCATAAAATAATAAGTAGCCAGGAAACCAATCGTACCTAAAAGGCAGACAATGAACCGTTGTAGACAAGGAATGTACCACCGTTTAAGAATGATACTTTTAAAAAATGGTTAGTAACCTACCAGTCATTAGGAAGAACATGAAGACGAAAATTGCAGTATATGAAAAGTAGAGTATTGTAGAGACCTTAAGTATTTATTATATGGGAATAGTACCAATAATGAGATGAAAGCAATAAATCAGAGGGCATGCGCAGTGAAAAACCAGTTTTTCTTCTAATAGGTCATCGTTCAATACACTAATTAAAAACCCAAAGAAAACTGTGCATAACTGTAAAGCACTTGTTTCAGAAATTCAAAACTACAGGTAACTATTTCTACAAAAAAAAAGAAAAAAACGAAAACTCACTACACCAGTGATAGACAGTTTGCTGGTAAAGAAACGCACGCAATAGGCAAAAAGATAAACGGCAGTAAATCCACTTGTGAAAAATGAGCGCCACCACCAATGATAATCCTAAAAAAGCCATGACAAAAACAAAACGCAGTGATCATTTTGGAAAATAATATGACGCACCTCAGCGCACAAATGGAAGTATGCAAGAAGTATTGTCGCTTCAGAACACGTAATGATCAGGATTAAGAAAACCAAGAACAGGAAACCAAACATGTAATACGTCTGATGAGCCCTGTTATAGAAAATGTAATAAGAAGAATACCAAACTGAGAGCAAGAGAAGGCAATCACTCCTTACCAAATACTGTTAAGGATGAAAAAAAGTTGAATAAATATGCATCCAAATGGGAGTATGCCACCCATAATCATTCCAGGAAGTGGTTTTGTGTACAACGTTTGTTCAGGAACCTGACGGGGAATTTGATTCGTGCGAACAGGAGGTTCAATCGCCTAGAAAGAACATATGGCACATTGTACATCAAGGGCCGCAAATGTCCAAATTGTTTACGAAATAAATAGAAAAACACAAGAATGCATAAAAAGAGAAAATTCTACCGTCTACACCTAAGAAGATCCCGACTGTAAAAGCTTATAAAGATCCGCAAGTAAACGCTGCAATAAAAAACTCGATGATGATTAAAAGTCTTGCGCACCTTCTTCTTAAAACCAAAAAATGCACCAATGAACGTCATTGGTGTGGATATGAACAGCCATAGAGATAGAAGGGCGATCAAAGTACCGAATGGAACAGCAGCTGATGAGCCTTTGGCCCACAATAAAATATTCGTGAAGAAGAACACCGAAAACAGGATTCTGAAACTCTTTTTTATAGACACTACTAAAACAATGGAAATAAACACTTTAAAAGTAGGTAAAACAAAAAGAACCACTCACCCCGGAATTAAGAAGCTGGTCAAGATAACGTTTGTCTTCCAGTGTACGCCTTGAAATGCTAAAAAGGATAGCTATAATACATGGAATCATATATTACATACTGAGCACCACTAGCAGGATCCACCACCGTCTTGGTATCAAACTAGTCGCATGATGGCAGATCTTCCCTGATACACAAGGGCGGTGACTGCTTGGGGTGGTAACCTGGGACAAACTTTGGCCAGGCTAACCTCGGGACTCCATGGCTAAACTAGCAAGACTCCGAAAAATGGGGAACATTCTGGGGTTTGCACATCCAGTAAGGACGGGCCGTCCAAGTATCCAGATAAGTATTACACACACAGTAACGACATAATGTATGGAAGCTTACTCTTATACAGCCGAGCAGCTACATATCCAGCAACTATTCCGAAGAAGACATAGAACACTAGTGCAAATGTAATAAGCGCTCCTCGATTTGCTGGTGACAGAAAACCGAGACAGGCGAATACTGCAATTAAACCAATCCTGATAAATAGAAATCGAAACAAGATAGTAAGAAAAAAACGAACCGAAATTAATGGAATATAGACTAACCGAGAGTGATAGATACCATCAATAGTGTTTGACATCCTGCACCAATGAAAACGGATAACATCATGGCGTTTTTTGGAGGGCGGAATACATCGCCATGAACCAATTTCCATCCGAACTCCTCCTGAGCATCCTCCTATAAAATCATCATTTACTGCTGTTGTAAAGAATACTTCAAAAATCGCCGCAATAACAAGTACCTCATTGTCCAACTGATTATACCTTGCGATATCGCGGTGCAGTGTTCGCATTAGTATCATACCAACCTACATTATAATGTAAAACAACCTGCCGATATGTTAAATATTTCAATAAATTACCATTCCAGAGAGGAAGAGAACTATTACAAGAGAATTCATTATTGAAAACCATTGAATATTTGAGTGAGGTATCGAATCGAGGATATAGTCCCATCGTGACGACCATTTCACATTAGTTCTCTCAAAAAATAAAAACAATGACTAGAGATGAAAAGCACAAGATACATGTGGCCACAAGTAACCAACCACCCAATCGACTTTGTACGTGTATGTGATGCTAGCGGCATTTTCAGCAGTCCTGATAGCCAAAGGTGGAGCTGTTTCTGAGCAATCTAACTCATTGGCACTTGGATGCTTGATGGAACGCGGCTTCACTAAGATGTGAATGATACGACCACCAACCTGAATAACCGAATAAACTAAACTACGAAACAACAGGAAAGGCTAATGAGAAAGTACAAAAAGAAGCGAAAATCTTCTGTAGTTCACAAAAAGCGCGGCAGTTAAGGACATTATGTATGTATACACAATGTACATGCACATATATATACGTATATATATATATATATATAAATATATAGTTGTGTATATACATGCATTTATCAGTACATATATGCACATGTATACATGTATATATGTATACATATATACGTAAACAGAAAGGATCGGGTAGCGCAGTGATGGTGATTCATTACGCGGACGGTACAACCCACCTAGGCGGTTCGTCCCATACCGGGTCCAGAAAACCTCTCATCTCTCGTTCGAGGACTGCTTCCAATACGCGCCCTAGTATGGCTATCTGAGGGATTCCGTGGAGAATGGACTCGACGAGCATTGAACGATATTCGTAACTAAGACGAAGGAAATTTCAAGTACCAGTGGAAGCCACACGCAAAAAAGCTCGAATAGTTTCGCAGATGGCGGATGCGATGAAACGAATGGAATGGAAGGAGTGCTCGGGTCCGCAAATGTATGACATATTTCACGGGTTACGTGATAACAATAACAATAAAACATCCATACATGCATACGTATGTACGCATGTATGTATATGCACATATATATACATATATATACGTATACATATACATATATATATAATATATATATATATAAGCATCCTCCCGACAGTTTACCGCCTCATCGTAGCTGGCAGGTGTTCCTGGGTGTCAGACTGCGATGTACAGCGGGGGATTCATACCTTGGCAGGGTCTCCCAAGCTGAGGATCTCGGCGTTTCCATCAGGAAGCCTAGCTAAGACTAAACCAATACTGGGATCCACCACCGTCCTGGTATCGAAGTTGCGTGATGGCAAATCTCCCTCTGATCCACAAGGGTGGCTAATGCCTGTGGTGGTGAAGACGTTGGGCAGTCTTTGGCCAGGCTGACCTCAGGATTCCAGAGAACCACAATGGCTTAACCAGCAAATCACCAAAAAAATGGTGATTATGCTGGGGCCCGCGCAACCATTGAGAACGGGGCGTTCAAGTATCAAGTATCAAGTGAGTTCTTTCAAATTTAACACTGTTTCATTTCCAAACTTAAAACAAAAAATTTAAGACAAAACAGAAGTTTTCAAAATCTCCATGGCAAATGCGACGCCATTATTGTACTATTTCATATAAAATCTCGAACATCTAATCGCTTCGGTGTTCGCAACAAATCTCCACAAAAAGAGAAGAAAATTCACTTCAGAAGTCCTAAAATTCACATTTTATTGCTGTAGAGTAAAATTAGCTGTATTGTGTAGATATATTCTATACCAATAGAATCTAATAGAGTTTACGTCTATCAAGTAAGTTTACCATGAACCAAAACACACTTGTTCAAAGCTTAAAGGGATTAGGATCACAGAGCACATGTGAACTGGAATCAATGCGCCATGTCGATCATGCGTTAATAGGTAATGAAACTCTGCATTTAGTTCAACGGAAGAAAAGAATAAAACGACTAAAAGTAAAAAAAAGAATGTTTTTCGCCGTCCAATGACGTCGTTGAGGAACAGACCTTACAAATATAATTAATACCTGTTCTTCGTCCAAAAAGTTCTGGTCAGTAGTCATATCCCGATATTCTATTGTAATGTCGACATGATTGAATATATAGTAACTATCTGGCTGATTGAAACGAGGCTGAAATAAGTATTTCTCAATCCTTCAATAAGCTTAATCATCTAGAAGAAGTTACAGCATATGTCCAAGTTTTCGGTGATTACGAATAATCATGGCGCTCTATATATGCAAATGTGGTTGAACTCACATCTATGGGAAAAGAACAAAATAGGAAAAAAGAGCAAAGTGAGGTCTTTGTTAGAAAGACTAGGCGTTTAGCATTAAACAACCTGTGATAGCCTATCCATGCAATAGGCTTCATCACAGAGCATCACCTAGGCTATCAGAGTTAATTGAAAGTTATCTAGCCTCTACATGGACTTACGGGGGCCCAGCGATCTATCACGCAACTGTTTTACACACTCGAATACAACTGGTACGAATTTGTCGACCCCAAAGGAATATAAGGCTAGGTGAAGCCAGGACTCGTAATAGAACCAATGATCGATCCATTGTGCATTGCAGGACACCTGTCACCATTGTGCAACATACACATAGCCTAGTTTTTGTTAAAGAATCACTAGTGTTAGATACCACAAGCTGGTAAATAATCCAGATGAACCACAACTGTTTCAGTTTCAGTGTCAAATATATCTTTAGAACCAACGAATATAGTAACGATTCCTTAAATAGTTCCTATTTCTATATCACCTTACGTCGTCTATAATAACTGCTCCACTTTTAATCGTTATACATCTATTCTCGCACATTTTGTAAATTGTCTCTTAACGACCATTTCATGCAGTTGCGTCGCAGGTGACTGGAAAGGGAATCAGCAGCAGTCAGCTGAATCTACTTTATGGCATCTGCCGTCCCAAAGAAGTTTCCGAACCAGCAGATGCATCATTTCATATGTAGCCCTAACAGATTATGCTAGTAGAAAAAACCTTTAGAACCTCTCTCTAGGCGCTGCCTTTACTTCCCTCTGGCAAGGTTCCACTCACTACTGAAGTAATACAGGTAGCCCAACGGTTTTCGTCTTCAAGTGTTCGTAGCGTTCGTCCAGTGTTCAGCCGGTCTCTCAGTTCCTCAGCGCTCCAACTCCAGTGTTCGCCTAACTTCCTTCAATTGTATGACTTGTTCTTATTTCAATCTCGCTCGTATATATCCAGTTAACCACAAATCGTCACAAATCACATACTAATATTGTGCCATTGTTATTGCTATAAAGTGTTATAACCCAAACTCGAGGTTGTTCACAGCAGTCACGGAAAAAGTCCCACGTGACGAATTCATACAAAGTCGGGCAATCCACGTACAGTTGGCGGACATAAGACAAATCCAATCAACTCTCTAAACCATTGGCCAACTAGCGCAACGAATAAATCTATACAGGCAAAGAATTCTAGTTTCATTCGATTAATCAAAACAGCAAGATTTGAATAAATGCCAGATTGCTTGCTAGAAAGACGTGACATCTGAATGTTTGGTATCTAAGTACTATCCACTCAAAAAAAGTAGCGCTAAACTGGCTCATGAGCTTATAAGAGTTAAGGTACGCTCTAAAAGTAGCTTTTAAAAGTCCAACTTGCAACAAAACAAGGCTACTTATCGACTATCTTACGTCAATAACGCATGCATCTCGAGGTTGTCCGTTTGAATCCACATAGCAACCCATTGGGAAGCCCGTTGTACAAACTTTCACGTCTTGCTGATTATTGAAGCAGAACGTGACCGGCATGTTGTCAACTATCCTAATAAATATCCTCATTAATAAACATTAATGGGACAGATATATTAATTATAAAGTAACAGAGTCACCAATGATGTTGATAGTTGAGACCCATTCCACGCTTAAGAAGCAAAAGTTTTTCTATACTCTTCATTGTGTTCGTGTACGTCTTGGTACAAACCTTAGAGCACGACTGACTTTGAAGAAAAGAGATCTAAAACTCAAAAATCAAACCTTAACTGGCAAGTTATTACAAAGATAGGCACAGATGAACAGTTAATAACTATTAGGCAAGTGAAAAGTATTATAACTAACGTTGTAAGGACTCGGTCGAATTCGCTCTCCAAACAGCACTTGACCCAGATTCTCCACAGGCGATTCTTCTTCAGAACCAATACAAAAGTCGAAGCTGAAACTTTATAGCTCTTCAAAATGGCACACACGATCATGCTCCATGAAAGTTCTGGACCGTTTTTTTTCTGTCAATACAGTTTCACATTGTCGGACGTCATATTAATATCATTACAAAGATCGGGGTTTGCTCCTATGGTCTATCGGTTTACTTTGCTTATTCAACTTTTAATGTATTTCGATGACCTTTTCTTCTTCAATATAGCTCAATGTGAAATTAGCGTACATGATACTTGGTACTTGAACTGCCCATTCTTACTAGTTGTGCGGGCCCCAGCGCAACCACCATTTTTCAGAGATTTACTGGTTAAGCCATTGTGGTTCCCTGGAATCCCGAGCACACCCTGGCCAAAGCCTGCCCCAGGTCGCCACGAAAACAGGCAGTCGCAGCCCTTGTGGATCAGAGGGAGATTTGCCAACACGCAACTTTGGACGGTGGTGGATCCTGGTATTGGTTTGCTCTTAGCTAGGCTTCCTGATGAAAACGCCGAACTCCTTCTCAGCTTGGGAAACCCTGCTAGGTGGAGGAATTCCCCGCAGTACATCGCAGTCCGACACCTAGGAACACCTCCCAACCACGATGAGCCGGTAATCCACTGGGAAAGAAATCAGCGTACTTCCTTATAAAGGGAAATGTGGATATCTAGTAGCTGCTCCACAAAAATAAAAGTAGGAAAATTCCCACTTAGCCAAAACTTCACCAAAACAACTGGTGATGACTTCTCAATCACTATAATATTTGAAGAAAGGATTTTAGTTCACAGAAGAGATATGGCATGGAACCGATAACGGAAGAGTTCTAGACCAGCCTTTTCCACTCCATAATCTCCGTCTCGGACCACGAAGTACTTGCTGCAAAAAATCTCCCGTTATTCTACCCTCTTAAGTTCGATTTTCGACAAAAAACATGAAGAGAGACAGAACCAGGGTTCGATAATATCACAGCTAACTTCCGTCGAGATAGAGGTCACAAATAACATTTCTCCACACATGACAACATACCTTCACAAGAAAACCTAGACCGGTAGCGGACTTTGGGCACGGTCATCATACCCAAAAAGACGACTGATGGATCAATGCAACTAATAGTTGATATACTTGCTGAGTGTATTGTACAAGCTAATCACGAATATTACCTTGTCGTGCCGAAGGTCACTGGATCACGGTGCAATCAGTTGAGCAAGCAGGAATTCGATAAGGATTTTACCGCATGAACCACCTCCAAACCGTATCCACTGTTAAAGCGGTTTGTCGGAAATACCACCTTCTCCTAATTCTGGCTTCTGTAGACTATGAAAAAGGATTTCAGTGTCGAAATAATGCAATTCTACCAGCGCTTGTCGACTAAGGAGTGTACTCGTCCTATATAAGAACTTAGTCTGACTGTTATAGAAACTGCGCTAAGAAAAAAAAAACTTTTCCATCCACCTCTTACCATACCCATTGGAAAAAGATTCGACAAGAGGACACCATATCGCCAAAAATGTTTACTGTCGCATTGCAGTGGATAATGAAGTCACTTGATTGCCCTGAGAAAAGCAGACATATTGATGACAAACTCCTATTAAATTCCCACTCCAAAGAGTATATCATCATCTTCTCAAGTACTAACAGAGAAAAGACGACATAAGCTCAACAACGCGGGAAAAAAAATAAGACTAGGCACAAGACGGAGAAAGCCCAATTCGTGAAAACACACGATGCGAAGGCGAACGCATCGAACTGGATGGTTCACTGATTACAGAAACCACCTCGTACGTGTACCCTAGACGTCCAATGAACATGGAGAACAACATGAAGAAAGAATTAGGGAACAGAATGAGGTCAGCATAAGTCGCAATCGGGCCTCTTACTGAAGCCATTGACCTACGGAAGAACTCCAAAATCCGCGATCACTTTTTCCATTCAACCTTTCCAGTGTTCTGTTGTACAGCACAGACGTGAGCTAATACTTCAACCACGTCAAGAATTCTAGGCACCACACATAGAGCGCGTTTCTCAACGGTGTCCTTGAAAATTTGCCCGGCATTCACAACATTTAGCAGGGAGTGCACAGCTTAAATATTCAGAGACCATCCCATCTTCGAGATCCAGGAGAATATATATCGATAGCGAAACATAAATGAGCTGGTAAATTAAAAAGAAAAACGGATGAAAATGGAGAACACTTGAGTGAACTGCAAGAAAATGCAAACGTTTTCCTTGAGGAGTACCCAAACGGTGGGTGACGTGTTGTTCAGAACTATGGAATGGGCTTCGCGGAAGTCACAGTCTTCGATGCAGCACACAACCATGGATGAGGAATGCACGGGACAAAAACGGATGGATATTGTGCTGCGTGTCCCACTACCACTAAAGACAAGCCATCTAAATATCCAAGTCAGCAAGTTACAGAACAAACTTTGCTCTATTGCGATAATTGCACAAATAACTTTTATAAAATGTAAGTACAACTTTTACCATACTTTGAATCGAGACTCTCAAAACAGTTTAGAACCAAACTTGAAATTTTTCGACTCCAAATGCAAAGGCGGCAGCTCATAAGACATAGATTTGTTGAAAAATACCGCAGTGTCATACCAAACAAACCACCGTTTGCTCATTTGTTTTCGTGTTTGAAATTTGAGCTTTGATGGAAACACGCGGTGGAAATATTTTGTTACATCTATGAAATTAAAACTTTACCTTGGCAGAACAAGATAAAAAAAAAGGACAAAGCTCCTGGCGTTGACGAATCCATGAAGAATGCGTCATGCCTTCGACTTCAACAAGCATCGTTAAATGCAATTAAATGCATATCTAGCCTTTAAAATGACTTGAAGTGGATCACCGATGTATCGAGCCAGTGCTGTTATTCTCCCAGACAAGTCTTGTACCAATTTGCCGACCCCGGAGGGACGGAGGGCTTGGTGAGCCTGAGACGCGTGGATCGATCCCATGTGTACTGCACGGTGTCCCCGACCACTCTGCTATACGAGCACATCTACGTGTAAAAAAAGTGTATTTTGTAGACATCTACACATTTAAATGACTCCCATTTTAAACAATGAAGCTTAACACTAATTATAATATATCGGTTTGCATTTGAAAGCGGCTTGTTTTTCATCAAATGCACTGTACTAGTGCACTTCAGGTATTGTGCTTCAAAGCGGTTTCCGCTGTATTGGCGCTCATTCGTATCGACAGAGGTGAATTTCAGAAACGTTATAGCACTGAACAGCAGCCGTTCGAAGTCGGAGAATTCACATTGAACAATAATGAAACGCATGAAAAGTCCATGAACAACAAAAATGCAGAAAAACCGAACCTGTGGTATTCATAGGGAATCACAGACTGATCGCTGTCTAAATGATTGACGTACAACATCACATTGCTCTGAAATCCAAGACATATGTGGAAATTCAACTCAACAAAAAACTAAACTCACCGGACATGTTGGCTTGCGATTGTGAACCTCACAAAAGTTAACTGGAGCCAATCCAGGGAGGTAGAAAGCCATGCATACCGTCGACAACACAACACATAGCGTAGTTACCCACAGCATACTGCAAAGCCAGCTATGCAAAGGAGTCGATGTATCAGCTAGGAATCGCTTTCTCTCGAATTCAACAACGGCAGACTTTTCGAAAACTCCAAAAAATCGCAACAATATTAAGAATCCTTCGCAGTGAACAAACTTGCTCAAGTGCTTGTGCGGAAAACACAAATTCTCATGCTGCAACAAATGTTAAGGCACTTAAGATCAGCTCAGAAGTGACAAGTAATAAAAATCGATAAAACTTAGAATGAAATGAGAAGAAAACACTTCGTTAAAAACGGTCATAGGGTTAAATCTGTATGGAAAGTGAGAATCTGAATAGAGAACGCCACGTTAAGACAGATTCCACGCAATGGCGCCACTACCACATACCCCTAGAAAGCCTGTCGTAATGCTCCTGAGACGACGATAGTTTTACGGTAATAAACCATTTTGTTGAGGACGCCATCGTAGAAATGGCTAAACGGGAACTACAAAAAATCGCCAAATTTCTGAGTACTGCTGACATAGCCAATGGATTTTGTAGAACTTCATGCTCAAAAATGCCGCCGCCAATTCCAGCTTCAGCCGAAACCACCGAAGCTCGTCATCCAATCCTTTGTAGACGGGCTGTCAGTTGAAGAAATTTATTTATTTTGTCACTGAATTTTAATACCAAAGCTTCGTTGTTTCACTTTGAAGGAGTTAATGTTTAGTTTAAATCTTAGGAAAGTTCTTTTTCCTTCCGTGTTGGTTGAGTGACTTTGTGATTCCTTGGTGTTTTTATCGATGAGAACACCCTGGGAGTTGCCCAATACCAGTATTAACTAAACAGGAAAAAATGTAAGATGACAATTTGTGATACAAACATAACAAGCTACCTATCTGTAGAGCCTAACATCCTAAATATTTGCTCCTTGGCGATTCTAAGTTTGAAAGGCATGGCTGGAAACGCTACCCACTTTTCAATCAATGAAGTCGACATCTCTACCTCCATTAGCTTATTGTTCATTTCTTCAGCTGTGGGATTCTTTTATAGTCTACTGTACAAGTCAGTGTAAACAATAGTTTTTATATAGTACTATGATAATTCTGCAGAAGCAGCGAGATATTGCAGCAGTAGATCTTGGCATCGAATGGCTATGACTTTGTCTGAAATGTTGATTTCAAGCCGGTGAAAGGCTGTTATGGACTGTTTCTTGTGAGTTTTTCTTCTTTTTTGTTGCTCCTTTCTTTCTAGCTGACGTATCGAAGAGGTCAGATTACATAAGACTACGGGGAACTCGTAATTTTTCTTTAGCTTTTCATCTCAGATTCGGTTAAACACAGCGTCCGAAGTGGGCAATGGGGTGCCTTGTCAAAGTTCACGCTGCCCAAGTTCAGTTCAGTTTCGACGGTGATGTTAGAGGTGCATTGCTATGAAGTGGACTTTGTTACGAAAACTGACTTGTCATAGCGATTGTAACTGATGTAGACTGCCAGTTGTTGGAAATATACGAGCTAAAACAGTCTTAAAAATATGCAGTCGTGTGTTCTTATATGTTTTTTAACCTGGCCGACCTTTCCTGTGTTGCCGTTTTTTCAGCCAAGTGATTATGTCAGATATATTTATTTATATGATCTTATTCCCCACACGTAACATCACTGCTCTGAGGAAGGCGAAGTCGCCGAAACATCAGCCATCGACCAACAACATCAACAACAACGACAACGAAAACGAAGACCTGTACCAACCTCAGATCAGCTTAAGAAGATCAGTTTATAAGATCATATAAATAAATATATCAACCATCTATGCTGAGGTTTATAGAAAGTCGGTCTTTCGAGTTAATGATGTCAGAGTTTCCGCTGATATTTTCGAACAAGGAATGCAATGTTTTCTTATTCAGGACCTCGTAGATCAACTCCGAGTGGAGGAAAGTAACAGAGTCTCCTAGGAATAAACGATGAAGAATAGTTTTATTTCAATCGATTGTCTTTTCTTCATCCCCTTACAGTTTCCACTACAATGTGGCCCCAATCACATTTATAGCTTTTAGCCCTAAATATTAAATGTATCGTGTCGTTATTTTTACTGTCTTGGAAAGTTCTCATTCTAGCTCAAATATAGTGGATTACGTACATCTGGGTGGTAGACACCTTATACTCCATCTAATTTTCAATATAATTTAGTTTTTAGGGAATTATTCATACTTACTTGGATAGTTGGATGGGCCGTCCTTACTGGTTGTGCGAACCCCAGCATATTCCTTACTTTTTCGGAGATCTTCTGATTTAGCCATTGTGGTTTCCTATAGTCACCAGGTCAACCAAGTGAAAGTCTGGTCTTTAAAAAAAAACCCGGATGGTGTAGTGGTGAAGTACGCTGCTCCCCGGTAAGGACAACAGCGCGTGTTCGTTCCCCACTGCATACACCTGTGGTCCGGAGTTTTGCAAATATCTCAGCACTTCATACGAGTTATATTTCACAACATACCCTGCCATTAAGAAGAAAAAGGCAGTAAATAAAAGAGTTAAGACTGTTTTCTTGGTTTTCAAGCAGCACAAACATGAATTTTCCTGTCTGAAGACTCATTAAAGGCGAATATCGACAAATCTTTTAAAGTATTCTTTGTTGCAGAATTTGCAAAGGTAAACACTTTCCTTAAAACCATAACTACAATTGTATTCGATTATCCTTTTATCTCTACTGGGTCGACTAGCGATGGCTCTTTTACGATCTCAAATCATTTTTCGTGCTGTGATATTTAGGAAAACTTTTTTATAATTAAGGACGACTTATACCTTGACTATGTGATCTATGTGGTACCACTGAAACTGCGTTCTTGTACAAGCTGTAGCGACGAAAATAAGGATAATGTTGATTTTCTCACTCGACTTCATCCAGTTCCGTTTATTTAAATTCTTATGATGGCTGTTTTTGACAAACTATTCTGTACATAGGGCGAGTGTGGCGCAGTTGTCGGGGGCGCCCTGCAACACATGGGATCGGTCCCCCGCCTAGAGCGCACCAAGCCTTTCGTCCCTCCGGGATCGGCAAATTGATACCAGACTTGTCTGAGAGGATAGCAGCAATGGCTGGATACATCGATCGGTAGGGCACCGAGAGTCACTGTGTAGGGTAGATACGCATTCAGTCACCTACATCGATGCTTAATGAGGTCGAGTACATGGCGCACCCCTTAGGCATTGAGCGCTGAGAACTTTATCCTTTTATCCTTTTACTCTGTACTTCTGTTCTTTATCTAGTTTTGGCTAAATGTCGACATTGCACATGCATTTCTTGTTAGCACAAGTGGACGAAGAGAGTTCGATCCCTTGATTTCTAGATGGATAAATTATACAGCTTTATTAATGTTGTCTTTTAATAGTTTTTTCTCATTCCATTTCTGAAATCTTCTTTCCACAGTTAGCTTTACGTGTTAGTGTTTTGGTAATTTGTTGCTTTCAGCCACTTGTAACATGATTGCAAGATTTCTCGATAACCATTGTCATGTTAAACGTTAGCGCTCCGTGAAGAGTCACCTAGAATGCGAGCTGATCCCCTGTGGGTTAGTTATGCTTAGTTGTTGCTGATTTTTGTTGCAGAATTCGTAAAGTCCGTAGGAAACTTATATGGAGCCCTATGTTTCAGTTCACCAAGCGTTTTTAATGAAATATGGTGCTGTATTTTCTCATATCACTTATCACGTACACTGCCTTAAGAGAAACAGTTTTCTTCAGATTCATCGACGTGATAATGTTAAAGAAATGCGGAATTTGCGAGACCATTCCTACTTTGGTCCTCTTTTTGCGAGCCATTATTGTAACGGCTCACAGGTCAAGGATGTGAGAGGCGTTCGCGAGAGTGCGCAAGAACTACGAACCGTTTGTGAGGTACCCAAACTTGGGTATTTGAACGTATTTAACTTATGTTAACACAGATAACATAATTACACGAAAACCAACAATAACATTAATGTGTCAGCGATTCAAGGGTTAAGGATTACATATACTATCATTATGACCTAAGCAAATGAATCTGCAAGGTAAAATCAAACGGGGTGGAATTAATGATGGAGCTGGCGAGGACAGTCCCCACGGCGTCATTGGGTCAAATGGTGGGACTACTGGGTATGTCCCATGGCCAGAACGAGATATGGACGCAGAGGACGCGCGCGGTGTTGCGGCTACGCGGTCTCCATCGATCTCCTGACTGTATCCGATAGGTAGTTAAGCCAATGACTGTGCTAGTGGAGTAGCTACGTCTGAGCAAGCGGTGTGCTCCATGGCCAGAACGGGATTTGGACGCAAAGGACGCGCGCGGCGTTGCAGGCACGCGATCCCCATCGATCCGTGGACTATATTAGTTATGCAGATAGAGAATTCTCTATCTGATTGAGGAATGCTCTATAATTGTTTTTTCTCCGACTTTTGCCAGTTAAGATGCGAGCACAAATCTCTGTCCAATCAAATCACAGTAGTAAGCTAAGCAGGTATCTTTCTTTTACAACTATGCAGAACTCAGGTTTTTAGGTGCGTCTTTTGTTGCATGTTTGAAAACGGTAATCATGAAGCCATGGTTTTCTGCCTCTCTGGGTTAAGTAGTAATCCTTCAGATACACAGTAGCCCTTGTATTAATCGAGTCCCCTCAGCGGATATAATCAACCTTCATCGCTCGAGCCTACGTACACAATTTCATAGTGATTTAGGAATGCAACCAAACTGTAATTGTTATATCTCTGGGAATATCCCTTAATTAAACTTGACCTGTATGTATGAATGAAATGTTCTCAAGAAGAATTTCAGTTCGTTTTTCCAGTTGAAAGTTTGAGGTAGTCAGTGTTGTCTTCTTTTCGTGTTCCATTGTTTCTCATATGTCAGCCTGTCCACTACGGATTCGAAATAAACATTACTGAAGATTCTGGTTGAAGATATAAGAAAATTTGCTGTAGCAAGAAACTAATTTCCCGCCAGTGTGCTTTGAATTCTCGCCGTTCTTATAGCCTTAAAAGTGCAGGTTCTGCTACGCTAAGCATGTTCTTTGTTGAAAATCCTAGGCTACCGTAAAACACCATAATAAATTAACTGGGAAAGACAAACTGACTAGAATAACGTTGAAATTTAAGAGCTAAGCAAACCTGAACAATTCCACCTCGTCTATGAAATGAACATGAAGTGTACGTTTACAACTATGTGTTAGTGGCAAACTATTGTTGTTACAGGACTTACTGTATATGTGTTTCGTCTCATAAGTGACAAACTATCTGCACCTTTACGGAGAAGGGAAGCGGGAAACGCGTATACTACACAAGTGCACGC